ATATATATATATATATATACCTAATAGTTCTGAAATTTAACCAACATAGTCGTTCGACCAATTGTGATTCTGCTCCACCACATCAGGGTATTTCACACATCATCACATTGTCACCTTCTCTAACACTGCTGTTCAATTAGGCGGTGTGCGAAACTGCACGCCACTCAAATTCACTGACTGTTAATGAAACACACACACGCTGGCTATATGTGGCAGTAAGTGTAAATATTAATTCAATAGGGCATGGCTCTATGATGTTGTGCTGCGACACTGTTTTGGTCAGTCCTCCGTGTGGCTTCATGCCCTACCAGGAGGGTTTCAGGAGCATTTTGCCTGCCTAAGTTTGTTAACTTCCTTTTATGTGCTTCTACCATAGCTAAGTAGGCTATGTAGTTAAAGCTTCCTTTTTTGTCACATATGAGTCTTCCTGTCATTGCCATTAACTGAATAAAACTACTTTTTCTAGTTGAAGAACATATGAAACAGACAAGCAACAGTTGTTTGTGTGATTTTAGAGAGGTCTATAAGGGTGTGGCTCCTCCCACCAAAGAGACAAAAATATCAGTACACAGGTGTGTTCTGCTGACCCTGAGCAGCTGTTTGGCAGACGGTGAAAAACTTGATGGATTGTTAATGACATCTGTCTTACTGAGAGAATAAAACCCACCACAGAAACAGAGCCGTCAGTGCCCTCGCTAAAGTTCCCTGTTCCCTCTTACTTACGTCAGCCTGACTCTCTGACACTCACCAGCTTTTCTTCTCCTTGTGGACGATGCTGACCAGGACATGCTCTCCACCTCGTGCCATCTGCTCCCCGGCTGAGTCGCGGCACACCAGGGTGAAGTGGCCCTGCTGCCCCTCCCTGCCCCTCTGTAGACCTGTGACCAAGGGGTTAGAGGTTAGAGGCCATAATGGTCATGGCTGAAAGCGAAAGTATTGCTACCGGCATCAAGGTGAAGAAAAAGGGGAGCGACTTCAGTAGTGTTTGATTCAAAAGATCAGATGTACAAGAAACCATGGTTGCCATGTGAAAGTGCAAGAAGACTAGACTAGAAAAGGGGGAAATACAACAAACTTAAGCTCAAGCAGAAGCACCTGGTTGAGTATGAGAAGCCAAAGATCCTGCAAGGTGAGCCGATTGTGGGTTCTATTTAATTATAATAATATAACTATAGCAGAAATATCCTGAAATATTGTGATATCATTTTAGGGACATATCAACCACCCCTAACAAAAACACACATAGAGTACGTCAATGCACAATGTTGATTTAACACACACATTTAAAAACCAAACAAACCCTGAGACGTGTGCATGCACAAAGATACACACACACACACACAAGAAACATTTGTCAAGAGAACACAGACACAAGTGAACAATCACATCTAAAGGCAGAAAACTCTGACACACACACTCTTTTTACACAGTTACACATACACACACACACTGCACACACTCAAACAAGTAGTAGAAAGATAGTTCATGCGCACTAAACACACACACACACCACACACCACACACACACACACACACACAGAAACCTAGAAAGACAAGTTGTCTCAGTGATCCCGCACTGGCACATGACATTAAAAGAGGCACTTCGTCATTCAGACGCACCACAAAATGGAGACACTTTGACATTTGTCCTGTGCCTTAAAGAC